AGGTTGCAGCTCGGTCATACACGCTAAAATCTCGCTTGTCGGCTAAATTTCGGCCAATGTATCCAAAAGCTCGCGCGACACGGGAAAACTTCCTCCAAACAGCACCCACCACTACGTCAGGTCGCAGCCTTAAAACTCTCTAAAAACTCTCTAAATTAAGCGCTATTTCTATCTAAATAGAATCCTTAAACCCCTACAGCAGCCTAAGTACTTATGTAAGTCCTATTCCTCTTATTATTTAGCTCACTCACTTTTGGGTGGCGCCCCACTAAAAAGTGAGAGCCTAGATATTGTATCCTAATTATATCTGCAGCAATCCTACATTAATTATTGTACGCTCTATCATTTGCCGCGTTGTGTTCTAGATTAGGTGCAAAAGACAGTACATGTAAGTACATTTAGAATATAATTCCTTAATTTAAGTTTATACTTAATATTATCTAGGATAGTGTCTAAGACAAAGAGATGCAACTCTTTATTAAAAGTAAAGGAAGTAGTGTAGCTACTTAAGTTGTCTAAGGCTTTAATTCTTTATATGCTAAGTGTTAGTGCTAAGTTAATAATTATAAGGTAAGTAAAGATTAACTTTAGATATAATTCTTACCTTAAGTAATGTATTCTAATTGTATCTAGCACTTTATCTCTAGTTATTCTAGTCTACCTAAGCATGTTTGCAAAGCACATGCCCTGCTAATTATTAGAAATTAAGCTAAAGGACAGAAGAAAGCAGCTAAACTTTAGATTATTAAAGGTATACATTTTAGATATAATTCCTAAATTTTAGTTATGCATTCTAATTATATCTAGATATGTACAAGGCAATTATAGAGACTATTTAACAGGCAGTAGAGAATAGTAACAAGGATGCTAGGCTTGCTTTGCGTTAAGATCCTGTACGTTTTGCTACTTATAAGATACATTACTAGAATAGCACTAATTATATCTAGCTGCTAAAAACTTAAAAAGAGATCTACACAAATGCCTGCGCAGAGAAGAAGTAAGTTGCTGCTAAAAAGAAGGCAGTTAAAGCAGCTAGAGGTAGTATAACTAAGGTAAGATACTTTCTAAATACATTTTTTAAATTATATTTTAATTATATCTAGCATAGAAAAAAGGTTAACTTAGAGGACAATAACTATAATCTAGATAAGGACATAAAGGTTAAAGATAGTAAAGTAAGTTAGTTTTAGATATAATTTTTAGATTTATATCTTAAATATATCTACGCTTACCTCTTTAAGCATTTAACTATAAGGTTAGCTGTGTTATTTGCTATAACAATCCTAAAGTAAGTATTATTTAGATATTATATATAAAATATATCTAAAAGTCTTAGTTTTCTAACAACCTATTTATAATCTACGTTGCTAAAGGTGTAAAGATGCCTATAATTCTAGGCAAAACTTTTAAAGTATGTAGATATATTCTAGATACATTACTTAAGTTTAAATACTAATTATATCCTAGTCACCTAATATCTTAGCCCTACTTTGCATTATTTCTGTCTATAATAATAGTTACAAATCTCTGTGCGTAAACTGCAGTAAGGTGACTAACACGCGTAGGGCTTATAAGCGTAAGTGTTCTCTATTTAAGATATAATTCCCTAAATTTTAGGTTATGTATTCTAATTGTATCTAGAATGCACTTTTAATAGGGCCTGTGCTAGCTGTGACTACTTCCCTAAGTAGGATGTACCTGCTAACTAGTATACAGGCCCGACTTACAAGGGTATCCTGCGTAGGCACATTTAAGCAGATAAGGAGTAGTTCTAGATACAATTACTAGATATGCATAAAAG